GCGACTAATTCTTACACACCTCACTGGAAGCGGAGGCCATAAAGAAATAAACAAAATGGTATCATCTTACCGAAGAGGTGCGGGCCAAGAATAGGATTATAGACAGGCTACTTAATTCTGTTCCACTGCCTAACCTCCTCCTCAAGACTCAATCCTGTAGCTTCAGCAATCTACAAACTTCCAGCCCGTATTCTGAAGTCCTGGCCTTTTCAGTGAGCTGCACCCCTTTGCCAAGTATCTCTAATTTCTACACTCAAATCCTATATCAGATTCCCCCGTGGACTTCCTCATCTCCCCTCATTCCCCCCAGTTCTGAGTTTCTAACTGCCTAAAAACTTGGACACAGCCCAGATTCCTCCTTCAGGTCTGTTCACCTCTCCCTTCTTAATCTAATCAGTTGCAAATTCCTGCCAGGTCATTCCTTTTCAACCCCCACGGCCTGACTTCTAATCCTTGCTCTCGGTCTCTCTCAAAGGCATGCTATCACGGTGAGCTTCTTAACTGGACGGCTCCAGCCCGTCTTGGGTTCCTTCACGCCAGACACAGTTTTGAACTTGACTTGTTCATTTCTTTCTATAAACATGTTCCTGTCCATTCTGGTATCACATCCGGGCCCTCACCCTTCTTGTGGTCATTTATCTCCCGTCTAACTCTTTGATGGGATTTCCCCGGCAGCTCCTCTCTTGTAACAGCCTCCCCCCATTAAGGGCTGTGCTCTTCTTTTGACGTGGAACTAGTGTTAGGGAAGCTGTGTGGGTCTTTACATTTTCTGTCCCCTCCCCCCAAACTGCGTTATAATACCCCTGAAGTTACCGAGCAACTATCTTTTTGCCTCTTGAGTTTTCTCTGCTTAATATAACTGGATCCCCTTTCCTCTTAGATGAGAACATACAGTGTGCTTACCTGATGCTTTAAAAATATTTTCTGTATATAGATTGCTAAACTTTCCTTTATTTTATTTTATATTTTGGTGTTTTGGAGACAGGGTTTCTCTGTAGCTTTGGAACCTGTCCTGGAACTCACTCTGTAGACCAGGTTTGCCTCGAACTCACAGAGATCCTCCTGTCTCTGCCTCCCCAGTGCTAGGATTAAAGGCGTGTGCCACCACTGCCCAGCCTAGAGTTTCATTTAATCAACCCTTATTAATAGCCTCCAGTGGACTTTTCTGGTTTTATTAGCGTCAAATAATTTCCAGTACACATCCTTGTACATCTTTTGATTTTTTTTAATATTTATTTATTATGTATACAATATTCTTTCTACATGTATGCCTGCAGGCCAGAAGAGGGCACCAGACCTCATTACAAATGGTTGTGAGCCACCATGTGGTTGCTGGGAATTGAACTCAGGACCTTTGGAAGAGCAGGCAATGCTCTTAACCACTGAGCCATCTCTCCAGCCCCCCTTGTACATCTTTGGGATCTTTAGACTCCATAGGTATCACACACTAGGATTGCTGGATTCAAATTATGCCTGTTTCAAATTCAGATGTAATCACAATTTTTGAAGTATTATAATATTTATGTGCTTCCTTATTTGTGTGTGTGTATGTATGTGTGTATACACACATATGTGTGTATATGTATGTGTATGTACATATATACATATTATATATAATATATAAATTATATAATGTATAATATCTAATATATACATTCCTGTGTGTGAAAATGGGCACGTGTGTGGAGGTCAGAGAACAACCTTGGGTGTAGGTCTCTGTTTTTCACCTTATTTGAGACAGTCTTTTTGCTGTTTTTTCTTCTACGTAGGCCAGGCTAACTGATCCAAGACCCTTCCCTCCACTCTCCTCCTTAGGAGTGCTGGGATTACAGATGTTCCACCCTGTTTAGGATTTGGCTTTTAAGAAGATCCCGAGTATTCAAACTCTCTTCACATTTGTGCGGAACTTTTACCCACGGAACCATCTTCCCAGCCCTCTTTTAAAACGTGTGACACCACATCGGATTTTATACCGTGCTGGAGACTGAGCAGAGGGCTTGCTGGCTTAGCACTTCAGCACCGGGGCTATATCCCTTTGTGTCTGTGGTTTTTTATTTTATTTATTTATTTATTTATTTTTTGGTTTTTCGAGACAGGGTTTCTCTGTGGTTTTGGAGCCTGTCCTGGAACTAGCTCTTGTAGACCAGGCTGGTCTTGAACTCACAGAGATCCGCCTGCCTCTGCCTCCTGAGTGCTGGGATTAAAGGCGTGCACCACCACCCGCCCGGCAATTTGTTTATTTTTTTTGTTTTGTTTTGGAGACAGTCTCCTGTAGTCCAAGGTAGTTTTGACTTACTATGTAGCCAAAGCTGGCCTTCAGCTCAGGCCTCTTCTGTCTCCGCCTCCTAGCTGCTGATGTTACAGTTATACATTGCCCCTTTCTAGTTTGTGTATTGTAATGCATCTCAACAGACTATCAGCACTGGTGGATATATAAAACCAGGAAAAAGTACGTTTGAGGGCCAGCGAATAGATTCCTTGGTGGTCAGTCATGGTAACCTCTGGCATCCCCAATGCTGTCTGCCCACCTTTCCTGGTCCAGGATCATCTGAAGCTCACAGCAAGTTGAAGCGTGCCGTTCCTAGAAGCGGACATTTCGCAGATATGAAATGTACATCTGTACATTTCGCAGATATGAATGTAAATGAAGTTTCATTGTTTAACCCTTAGGGCGTCTCCAAAGGGATTACATGAACTCAGAACCTGATTCAAACAGAAAAGGCCCGCGAGCTGCGGCCCTCCTTTCTGTCATTCAAGCTGTTTTTGCCCAATCATCAGAAGTGAGCCTGTTTCTTCTTGCTTCAAAGTTTTGTCTATTTAGCGGTTCTTTTTGAATTCTGATGATTAATGGGACAATAACTGCCACCGAATGCTGTGAGCCACTTGGCGTCCTCACTGACTTTTTAGAAACTGAGTAATATTTAGCCGAGAGCTTCCCAAACCTAGTTATATGGAGGACTCCTGTGTGGAATTCATCCCGGTAAGCAGGCTCAACAACTCTAACACCAATAGGAGCTACTTTACCTTTGAGTTCTAAAGTGTTCACACGCTAGGCCAATAAATATTTTAGAATTCTTCAGGGGAAGGGAGAAACTCACTAAGCAAGACTCAAAGTAGGACTGTTGGTTTTAGTTGCTGATTACATTTCGGCCTTGTGAATGGGACAGTCAGTGTACACACTCACACATCACTAGGGTAAGAGTTGATTTTAGACCAGCACCCTTGCTACCCACCAGGATGCATCAGGCCCCTGAGGACTAGGACTTTGACTGGTCATCTCCGGATTAACGGGCTGAGGCAGAATACAGGTTAGGGAGTGGATACTTCCCTCACAAAAACACAAAGCCCAGTTTCCAGAGGCCTTGGCCTTATTGGGGAAGACCTAGAAAGATGAACTGAGCAGTTTCTCTTGGGGACCTCTGTTTCTCTCTGGCTTTCTAGTTTCTGGGGGATTTCAGATTTCTGCTCATGCACAAACTGCTTCTTCCTGATTCCTAAGATTCCCACCTCCCTGGAAGCTTGTTTCAAGTCTAGGCCCTTACTGTCTAGTTCTATGCTCAACTTCTTCAGCAAATGCCTCGACACAGAAAATGTCCTGGCTGAGGCGAAGTCCTGACAAAATGAGATGTTACATTAGCAGGTTATTACATTGTTGTTATATTAGCAGGTAGGGTTAAGGGAATTCACACTAAGAGACGGAATGACTGGGTTTGGGGCCTTTCTTCCTAAGGTGTTACCATTCCAAAATAATCTGCTCAGAGACGCGGAAGAATAATAACAAGGGTGGCGGTGCACAGCAGGCTTTAAAGGTTTTGGCGCAGAAAGCCTCCCTCCCAGAAGGACAAGGGACATTGCAAGCTCAGTGTCTTGATTTTCCAGGGCTTTGTCTCCTTAGGAGTCTGATGTCCGGTTCCCACTCAGCGCCGAACAGCGCTTAATAGCTAAATAAATAAATGCTTATGAGAGAATATCTACATCTCATACCAGATAGACCCTTAATCAAGGCAAGTGTGGCCTCTGAATACTGCCTTGGGCTTCCTGCGGGGTGATCGCCCCGGCTGGGATTGAGGTGGGGAACTTTCCGGGACATACAGCTGGAAGAAGGGACTAGAATGTTGGACGCGGCCATGTCCCTTGGACTTAGAGCCAGCTGGAACTCCAGATGCAGAGGGCCCTGACCCTGCTGGTTCAGCGCCCCGATGCGGCGGAGAGGCGCGAGTGATTCGGAACCCCAGGGCCCGCGCGTGGCGAGTGGCTGCGACTGCGGCCGGGATGGCCCTGTCGCTTCTTAGGATCAGGCCGGAGTTTCCCCGTGGGCCATTAGGGCGGACGTGTCGCGGCGCTCACGGATCGGAGACCCGCCTTTACTTTGCTCCCCGAGGCCCGCGAGGTCCCTGGTGAGGTCATCGCGGGCCAGACTCCCAGCCGAGGGCTCGGTGGTCGCCGCGGCCCCGGACACGCCCCGGACACACTCCCAGGGCTTTTTGCACACTTCCCCACCGCCGGGAACCGCCAAGGCACGGGGCGCGGCGTGGGGGTTGTTTCTGTGCCCTTGCTGTTTGTTGGGACTTCTTCCCAGGACAGCATTCCCCACCCTTTCCTCTCGAAAGTCTTGCGGTTTCCCTAGAAGACGGAAGGAGGTCGAGAAGCTTGCAGACTTTTCTTTTGCCATCTTTCTCGTCCCGAAACTCGAAATTCCCAAAGGGTCTGGCCGAAAGGAGAGATAACTCGGGGTGGAGAGCAGGGAGAGAGCAGTGCATTCCTTCGCCCTCCCGCCTCCCACCTGGTCTCGCCGCTCTCCTCCCCTCCCCTCCCCCAAGCGCCCTGCAGCCCCGCGTCCCGCCGCGGCCACCCCGGCAGCTGCAGGGTTAAGCTCTGGAATGTGGCGGCGAGGAATGTGCATGCAGATGAGGCGAGCGCGGGGCGGGCCGGAGGCGGGACTTATGCTAATCGCACGCAAATGAGGAGGCCAGTCGCCGCCGGGCCGTTGCACCGCGGAGCTTCCCGGATCCGAGCCCAGACGGCGTCGGCCGGGGCAGCCTGGGCGCCGCGACCCTTGGCGGCCACAGGGGGACGGGGAGGAGGAGGAAGAGGCGGAGGCAGCGGCGGCAAGGAGGAGGAGGGCTCGCTCGCCTGTTCCGAAGTAGACATGGTGGACTGATCCCCGGCAGGGCTGAGAGCAGGGATTCCCGAGGCTTCTCCGCGCGTGGCCAGCTGCGCGTCCCGCGCCCTGCACGCCCCTCGCCGGTACCCGCCTTCCCGCCGCGCCCAGGGCCCGGTCCCTATGGAGGCGCCGCTCGCCGGCGAGGCCGCCGACCATGCCTAGGAGGGCCGGGAGCGGGCAGCTGCCGCTACCCCGGGGCTGGGAGGAGGCCAGGGACTACGACGGCAAGGTCTTCTACATCGATCACAACACCAGGAGGACCAGCTGGATCGACCCCAGGGACAGGTGGGAAGCCGGGCCCCGGCCGGGCGCGGGGACCCGCCTCGGAAGTGCGGCGGCGGCTGTTGTCTGGGAGACCTGGCGGGCGCGGGGGGCGTGGGGCGTGGGGCGTCGCCGGCCCTGCACCCCTGAGGTCCCTGGGGTAGGCGCGGGACGGCCGGCCTAAGCGTGGCTGTGTCTATCTGCCCGCCAGGCGCCCCTTCTTGGGCCCCATTGCCCACTGCCTTCCCCACGCCCCTCCGGGACTTGTAGACACTCCCTGCCCCCAAGGGAAGGGCTGGATTGGTGCTCTGGGCTGACACCCGGAGTCCAGTTAACCGGCTCAGGGTGGGGGATACTTGAGTCCTCTTAAGACCTCCCGTGTGCTTTAAAGTTGGTCAGAGGGAGGCAGAGGGCACCTTTCGACCTCTGCAAGGCACTCTGGGCTCGGGGCCTCCCGGAGGCCTAAGTGCACAGTGAGCAACTGGCCATCTGGGCCACCTGTGGCATCTCTCCAGCCATCCTTGACTCCTGAGCTTTGACTGCAAGCTTTTGCGAGGGCGCACTCCCATCCCTGCCCTAGGTCCGGAACGTGAAGAGGGGCCCCACTCCTGGCTAGACCTTCGTAGCTTTGCCCCTCGAATTTTAAGCACATTGAGAATTTTGCTTTTTACTGTTACTCCTCACCCGATAGCTTGGTTAGATTTTCTTGTTGAAGTGGAATGAACACTGGGACAGAACTGGGCTAAGGGGAGCCCAGACTTGAGCTGAGCTTGATTTTGCACGGGTCTCTCAATTTACAAGCGTTTTGCTCCTACCTGGAGATCTGAAGCAGACAGACATGAAGTTTTGTGGGACCTCCCAAAATGTTGTCCCCCAACTTGCATTTTACTCTGAGGAGGAGCATTTCTTAGAATTAAAGGTGTTAGAAGGCCACTAGGAGGGCGCAGTATGGTGTCACACATCTGTATAAACTCAGCACGTGTGAGGTAGGAGAAGGAGGAGGATCCTGAGTTCAAGACCAGGCTGAGTTATGGGAGACCCTGTATCAGAAAAAGAAAAAAAAAAATTACTAAGGAACACTATTACTAGTAAATTTGAAAACTCTACTCCTTTTTGATTTATTTTATATTTCTAGACCCTCATACTGCATGTAGCTCAGGCTGGCTGACTTGGAACTCATTATGTAACAGGCTGCTTCCAAACTCACAGCAATCCCCCTGCCTCAGCCTCCTCGATGCCGGAATTACAGGCGCCGGCCACCATGCCAGGTTAGTTCCTCATTGTAAATTTATTATATCCTCAGGGATGCTCCTGCCATTTGAAGTTTTACCATTTCTGAAAAGTGTTACTGACTTTTTATGCAGTGTGGTGGTGGGGTTATAAAGCCTTTTCAGGTGCTTTTCTGTTGAACAGCCCTCCCGGCTTAGTTTGAACCAGAAATGTTTTTCTACTTGATGCTCCCAATCGCTCTTTTCCGAGGACTATTGTATTTGAAAGCTATTAAAGAGCCGTTATAAGAAAGTCCCGGACCGCATAAATTTATGGAACAATCCTTGTTAAATTATCCATGAAGATATGGGTTTAGGTTTCCCTCCTGCTGGGAAAGACACCTGTGCCCAGGCCCCACCTCCCCACAGCCCCGTGGGCCATCGCTGGCCCGATGAAAGTTGTGATCCGTCACTCCCCGCATAGGAGTTGCAGTAAACCTCGGGCCCCAAGCCTGGTACTTCTGCTGTTGCACTTTGAAACTACTTAACAGATAGTTAACGTCGGTGCCGATGCTGTGCACACAGCAGCGGTTTGTGAGGCAGCTGTATAAATATTTGACTTTTACAGTTGTGCGTGCAGCCGCTCTCTCCGCTCTCGGATACTCGGGAGTTTCCGGTTAACTGCAGCCGAAGCTGCAGCACGTGCTTGTACTTTCTAGGCATTTTACACCCGCTGCTGCCTCAGCTCACAAATGTCTCGTCACTGCCCCTCGTCTCCTAAAGAGGATTCTAAGAATGTGCAGCGGCTGGGTGAAGAGAGGGGAAAGCCAAGTTTTATGGCTGGGCTTCTCCATATCACGGCTTCTTCCACAGGCCCCGCATGCCGCTTGCGTTTAGCTGGAATGGATTGTCACTTACTAGGAATGCCGTTTTTAGGAAAGGGGGACCCAAGTACTATGCTGGCGACGAACAGTTGTGACTAAGTTGACTTCTCTTTTCCCGTTTTCCTCGCAGCTGTTAGGCCTTTAATTACGTGGGGATACACATTTGAATTACTTGGAATATTTCTAGATTTTGGTATGAGAACTTTAAGAAACGTTCTGTGAATTGAGCCGCTGTGACATGTTTTCTTTTCGTGTAACTGAATAGGAAGCAGCGAGTCCTCCTACTGAGTGTTAGAACTGATTAGAGTAGATACTTGGAGTCATCACTAACTCTTGTTAATTTTGCTACACGGCAAACATGGAAAGAGAGATGTTACCCAGACCAGTAGGGAATTTGTGGATTCTTCTGCATGATCAGATTGCAAAACCTGAAAGAAAAAAGAAAAATGACTTGAGATACCATGAATCCTTGGCTGTTTGGGATCTTTAAAGTCACTTAAGTAAAGTGGTTGGAATGAGTTTGTCATCGTTATTGTTATTTTTATTCCGTTAAGAGTGAGGGCTTTGCTCCTGATAGTTCACAATTCATCCAGTGTTTCTGGTTGGACAGAGAATTATGCTGAGTGAGTGGGAGGAGGCTGGGATTTTACAGCAACCTAAGTTCATTCAAGGAGTACTGGAGCTAAAACATGGGACCCTGTTTTGGGTACTTTAAGGTTTGGGGCTTGGTCATATGATGCAGACATGCATCCCACATAATCTTGGGATGGACTAGACCTTTTACCACTCTGTCATGTACTAAGTTGAGCTGAGGTTCTGCATGGACTCTAAAATGTGAATAATATCACATCCTCATAGGGATCTTCCCCAGGTCATGATTAGGACCTAGCCAGATAGTATTATTGTCTGTTCCATGAGTGTGTAGTACCCTTGGAGGCCAGAAGAGGGCACTAGGGTCTCCTGGGGTTGGAGTTGCGGATGCTTGAGAGCTGCTATGTGGGTGCTGGGCATTGACCCCTACCTGGGCTCTCTCGAAGAGCAGCCAGTGCACTTAACTGTTGAGCCATCTCTCCAGCCTTCTGCTAACACCTTAACTCAGGGAAACCCTGATAACATAGAGACCACAGCACATTTACGAGGCTCTGTGGAGGTGATGTCATTTTATTCTCCGATCACTTCTCTGAGGTAGGGTTTTCTTACCTCACAATGATGAAGAGGAACCGGACTCAGAGAAGCTACTGGTCAAGTGTGGAGTCAGGATCTGGTACTAGACAATGTCACTCCCTGGAGCAGGGGTTCTCAACCTGCCTAATGCTGTGACCCTTTAATACAGGTTCTCTTGTTGTGGTGACTCCCAACCATAGAATTATTTTCATTGCTTTTCATAACTTTAAATTTTCTACTCTTATGAATTGTAATGTAAATGCTTGTATTTTCAGATGGTCTTAGGTGACCCCTGTGAAAGGGGTCGAGACCCACAGGTTGAGAACCACTGCTGTTAAGCTTGTACCCAGTTAGTTGGCTTCCTGGAGGCTTTGCTTCCTAAGGATGTTATTTTGAGGGTTCTCTCTCATTTGTTCACCATGAACAGTCTTTGACCACACCAGTTGGTATTTATGGTGGACCATAGATCACGGCCAAATGGGCCGGTGTTTTAAAGCACTGCCTTCAACACAGGAGAAGCGATGGGAAGGGCTCGTGGCCTCTTGAGTAGAGGACCGAGCGAGCAGGCATCAGGGGTTTGCATTACTTCTCATCCTTGTGCTGGATGCTAGCCAGAAATACAATAATTTTGTTCAGCGAAGCTTACAGGTTGCCACACAAAGCAATTTTATGTTAAGACCGATGGACCCTACCCTGTAACTTTTGCTAGGGTTAGATTTAGAGTGACTTGTAGTTTCGAAGGGAAGAGAGGCTTGCGTGGTGGTTGGTGCGTGAATGGAGGAGGAAGGAGCGCGCTGAGCGCATCGATGACGTCAGAGCAGCCTGCGTCTTTCCTGTCTCAGGTGGCTCATGCTTAGGATCCCAGAACTCTGAATCTCCGCTCCTTTCAAATCAGAGCAAGTAAATGGACTGACCCACGGCTAACTTGTAAATTTCTCCAGTCTTAATTCCGTGTTACTGCCGTGTGTGCCCTTTGTGTGTGGTAGATGTGAACTGGATGTTGCTCAGGTCAGATAACTGAAGGCTAAGATCAATGAAAGAATGTAATTCGAGCCTCTCTCCTATTTTAGTTTCTTATCAGGCTTTCAAAAAAAATTATACCCTGAGCTACCAACAACCAGAGACAATCAATTTTCCAGTTGGATTAGAACTAATGAGAGAAGTGAGCTGCTGCATTTCGAAGAATAATATAAATATGTGAATTACTTATAAGAGCAGAAAACCCACCGTCAGCTCCAATACTCTTAATCATACTGCCACGGTCATAAGTTGCTGCATATTGTCCCTTCCCAGCAGGCTCTGCGCCTGGATGCCAAGTGATGCTGAGAGTTAGCTGAGTGATTATGGTGTTTGCAGTTGTGGAGGGGTTGTGAAAAGCCTTTGGTTTTTAATCACTTGAGGAAGTGTTAAACCAAACTATGATGTCTCCTAGAATCCCCATAGAAGTGTTTCTAGTTCTCAGCAGTTCGCTACTATGCTTGCCAGAGTGAGCAGTAGTTGCTTGGCATATTTGAATGACTAAGGTTTCTTCTGTGACTTTAATGGTCTGCAGTTTACAGTTTAATTCTGCTGTAAGATTCAGGACAATAGTTGGTTTTTCAAGAAAGACTGGTATTTATAAACACGTTATTTGTTTTGAGCTGCAAATTGCTAAGTTGTCAGCTACAGCCAGCCATGGTGACATGTGGTATTTAAAGTTAATGAGAGGAAGCCTGGTACACTGGGAAGGGTGGGAGCTGCCTGCAGGCCCTGCTCTGCCTTGCAAGTG